CCCGGGCAGCTGGCTAGCTAGAGCGCAGTGCGCAACAAGGTTGTAGGGAATGGAGCTTTTCTTGCATCGCTGCTATAAATATTAATTTTCTTAGTAGGAATGGACAGGGAAGTCCATCTTGCTATTCTGTATTTAGTACTTTGTTTTGGATATTCTTCAAGGAGGCTAATTGTAGGCAGTTGGACCAGATGATCATTGTAGGTCCCTTCCGACTGAAATAGTCTTCTGCCCTTGGTTGGCCCCTGAGGAGTTTGCTTGTTTACAGCTCTGGAACATTCCTTCATGGTCTGCTTTAAAGAATTAAAAAAGACACTACTATTCTATCTTAAATGCTGCCTCCTTTGATCCATCTGTGTGGGATTCAGTACTTACTTACTTCAGCTTTTTCTTTCTGGTAGCATCAAAGTCATCTTTCAAGTAGTCTTTGTTTTACATCAGCTGAATTCACCTAGAAGACCTTTAAACCTTTTAATGTCAGCATATCTTTATCATTATGAAGTGGGTTGTGCTCTTAACATACTTGAAACGGTCCTGTTGTTTTGTGGGGGGAAATACTGCCTCCTTCATTATCCTCCTTCGCTAGTAATTTATCTTGCCACTGTGTTCTTTGGCCTTCCTCTCCTGCTTGTTACTCTGCTACTCTGGATACCCTTTCTTCCTGTCTACCTCTCTGGCAGCTGAGGTGGTCCAACTGTTTGCTTCTGTCAAAAGGGGAAGGTACTGCTCCCTCTTCACTTCTATTGTGCTGCTCTACTCAAACTCTCTTATTTGTGCTCTCTGTAGTATTTGGTTAAATGAGTTTAACTGGATCACAGAGGAATCTGATAAGCTTCTGAGCTGGTCTGAAATTTGTGTTCTGTAATGAGGAGGGATGAGCTGAGGAATGTAACTGTCCCCTCTCAGCAGCAGTTGGTTATCTTATATAGAATTTAATGCACAACTCTGTAGTATTTGTGACAGGTTTCAGGATAGCTTTTGGCCGCTTCTTAGAAGAACAACGTCCTCCTACTCGATAATGTTGTGGTTTTTGCTCCTGTGTTAGGAGCCTGTTGCTTCTTTTTGCTGTCAGCGGCTTGAGTGTAGCTTTGTTACTGTTAACGATTCACCCAGAGCAAAAACTTTCCCATTATTTGCTTTGCATTCCAAGATCTGGCTTAGCTAATTGCTTGTGGTGGCAGCTTTCTATCTTCCTGTCATCTTCAAAACTATCAAGTTAGATACTTAAGTTCCTGCATGTAATTGTCAAATGCTCAAGAATTTTCTGGCGTAACATGTCACGTTCACCTGTAGTGTCTTTGGAGTGTGAACTGTTAAGATAATGTCTTTCTGTGCTCTTGTACAGTCCCTAACACAAGGGAACTCTAATCTGCATAGATAATTTCCACTGTTATTATTGTACTTTATTATCTCCTCATCTCTTTCTTTTGCTTTATTTCTTTCTTTTCAAAGTGTTTGTCTCTGCCCTTTTCCTCCTTCTCACTGTTAAATGTGGAATTACGTTCTGTGAATATCACTTCCTTATCATACTTATTTAACTTATGACTGGTAGATAGGAGGCTTATGGAACATCTTACCTTTCTCTTGTATCAATTACCTCAAAGTCTGAAGTCCTCTTCAAACAAGTTTTGCCGGTTGTTGCCAATCACTAGACCTCATTCCTGTTTCAGTTCTTTCAAAGCAAATATATTTGACTTCCCTTGCCCAACGTTCCAGGTATTCCTTGTCTGTAAATGATGTTAGTCTGTTACCTTTACCACTGCTGGATCCAGTTACTCCTGGTGCACAGTGGAAGCATCCACAATGATTCCTGCATTTTTGTCCTTGAAAAGTTTCCTGTCTTCACAGGGGGACAAAATGCTACAGCCTTTTTTGTGTTCACTGAGAAGAAATACTATCATTGTTCTATGCTTTCTGACCTATACTGATTTTTTTCTCTTAGCTCTGGTCAAAGCTACCTTTGTAGAAAGTGTTTAACATCTTCTGAATTTTGTTTTCGCTTCGGTTCTTTTAAATAATTAAATTTTCAGTGTTCTGAGCAATAGATGGGGTTACCCAATGAAAGGCCTGACAACACTGCCTGCTTTTACTGTCTGAGGATGGGTAATTACAGCTTTGACCACATTGCTTAATTTGTGTTTATTTCATTTAAGTCATCTGCAAGATAGCTGTAGTATTTTTATCTCTTCAGATGTGTGTTGAAACTTAACTAGATTTTGTAAAGCGCTCTAAGAGCCATTGAAATGCCAAGCATTTTTGGCTTCTCCTGCTTCACCTACCTTGTCCGTGTGGCGTTCTGCAACTCCAGACTGCGGTTTGTGGCATTCAGAACTGCCTTTTCCTTACCTTACTTTTTAAGTACACCTTTCACCCACACTGTGTCAGTGAGTAACCAGATTAAACGTAAGGACCTCTCCAGAAAAATCAAAGGCACTTCTAGTCTTAAAGAAACAGGAGATATTCTTAAAACATTTACTCAGCCCCAGAAGATAAGTATGTTGCGGACACTCAAGTGTTTACTTTGCCTCTGTTACCATGTTTCCTGGAAAAACTTTAATTCTGTAGATTATAAAAGTGAAACAAGGAACAACAGTGCAAAGAATTCTGGCAGACCAGGAATAGAGAACTTGGGAGTACAGAACTAGTCTGTCTTGACTGGATCTTCAATAAGGGCATAGCCTTCTGTGTCTGCTATGCTTGGAATATTTAAACTATTCTTCCCTCCAAAAAAAGTTGTAATCTTTTGTGGGTCTTGGGTACTTTGGCCAAGCTCTTCTCCTTCCATGTTTCACCTACAGTCAGTAGTGTAGTAGCTTTGTATTTTGCAAGTTGCTGGATACAGATGTTAAGTGCTTCATCTCTTCTGCAGGTGCTGTTCTTTGGATTTGGGTGGCTATTCTTCATGCGTAAACTCTTCAAGGATTATGAGGTGAGAAGGGACCTTCCATTGCAACTCTGTATCTTATAAATTATTCACAGTTATAGAAATATTTTTAAAACTCCGTTTTGACTTTCCATGTTTCCTCTAAGCCCTCTTATCTTATTTTTAATTATCTCTACAGTAACTTTCTTTTTTAATTTCCTCTCATGCTTCTATTTGAAAGATTCCTAGATATCTGAGGAAATGGGTTCTTGGGCCGGTGAAAATTTCCATGTTGGCTACTGTTAACTAAAAAATATGGAGGAGGTGCAGGGGTAATAGGAAACTGTTTCAGCTTTTCTTGAGTAAGCCTGCCTTATGTAACCGTAAAATGTTTGAGATAAAATAAAATTCAGTGTCTAATGTTGAACTCAGTAAGGTGTGTTTATTGTGGCTGAATTGTTTTTGAGGATTGGATGGGATAAAACTGCAACATTCGAATGTACAAGAGTGTAGTCTAGGTCAGAGGCAGCTTAAATGCGAGCCAAATTCAGACCTCAAAATTTTTTCTGATGTGGGTCTTGTTTTTAAATCCAAGGTTAAGATCAAATAGCTCTGTCATTAATCAGGTTGACATAGAGCATTGCATGCTTGACATGCCTTCTGTGTAAGGTACGGAAATGCACCACTAGCTGCAGTTGGTGTAATACTGAGCAACTTACGAGTTTGCCCTCTGGTTTCTGACAGATTGTTGGTTTCGTCTTATTTAGATAAAGGGCAAGGTGCCTCAAAGCAGGAGACCCAGTTGTGTGGCATCCTACTTTGTGATTTGCTACCTAAGGGGTATCAGGATGCCGTTCTAGGAATGGAAATTCCTAATGTCTCTGGCTTGTTTTCACCGTTGCAGGTGCGACAGTATGTGGTCCAGGTGATCTTCTCTGTGACTTTTGCCTTCTCTTGCACCATGTTTGAACTCATCATCTTTGAGATTTTGGGAGTGCTGAACAGCAGGTGAGTGGGAGCCCAATGAAGGCCTAGCCTGCCTTGTGTTCTGCAGTACCCTCAGTCCAACTTCTAAATTAGCGGGTTAGTCTTGGACTGGGGAAATTTTATGAGAAAGTTCTCAACAACTCAGAGAAGGTGTTTGAGCAGCCATGTTTGTTTTTTTGACAGAACATAAAACTAGAAGCCATAAGCTCAGGATTTTCCAAGCAGTTGCTACTAGTGTGGTCCAGGTCCTTAGGACCAAGCTTTAGTCTTTGGCTTTCTCCATTTGTGAAGTTAAAAGAAATGATTTTTTTATGGGAGTATTGTAAAGCTTCAGATCATGCTGAAGAGCACTTTTCAGATGTTAAGGACTATCAGAGCAGTGAATAAGATGTGAATCTAATTATGGAGTGAAAACTACTTCTGTAGTAATATGGTATTTGTGAATCAAAGGCACAGCTTCCCTTGACCTAAGGTGCGGACTTCCACAGTAAGGGGATGTTCAAAACTGTCTACTTCAGCAGTCAGTAGGAAAGAGAATGTAGAACAGTAACATGTAGAGGCTAGCTGGGTTTCCTATTCTCTCTCATCATACTAGTGTAAGAGAGCAGGTAAAGGAGATGAATGGCAGAAAGTACAAAACTGATAAAAGGTAAAGTTAGTTCTGACTGTATGTTATTAATCTGTAGAGCTTGCAGCCAGAGGGATCACTGAGGAGAATGCTTTTATACGCTTCAATAAAGGGCTGGACATTAATATAGATGAAAATGTTTGCCTCTGAATTAGCTAGGGAAAAAGTTACAAGGATCCTCATAACTTCTGCTTCCCTGAGGCTTGAAGTTAATACTGGGAACAGGGTATGTGATTTTCTATTCAAGCTAAGTGAAAAGTTAATTCAGCCAAGATGAATCTGATCTGTGTTTGACTAATCTTTGGTCAGAGGAGTATTTTAGTATATGTGTGTGTTTTTAAGTTCTTGCTTTGCAATGTCTTGCAGACAAGACAACTCACTTTGAAGTGAAACATACTGAATTAAGAACATTAAATATTTTTAATCTTTTTCATTTGAACTGGCCATTTTTGGCTCAGCCACTCATTAGAAAAATTAATTACTGCCTTATACTCAGTTTTAGTTTGCTGTTCAACTAGATAAGGAGTAAATCGAATGAATTGTGCTGCAACCGCCATTAGTCACTGTAGAAAATACAGTATTTGATAAAATATCCCAATGTCTTTTGTGGATGGTTGTTAATTTTGAAATACACATTCTTGAGCTCTGTATAAAAAAAAACAAAACAAAACAAAACCCCCAAACAAACAACCCCCTCTCCCAAACCCAAACAATAAATGAAACCCAGAACATTCAGTATGCTAGTCCAGCATTATCCAATGCTTGATGTAGTTGAAAGGATTTCATTGACATGTGGTTGTCTCTGAGAAACTTGTAGTATGGTAGTGTACTAACCAGTACTTTGGCTTTATTTTAGCTCTCGGTATTTTCACTGGAAGCTGAACCTGTGTGTCATTTTGCTTATCCTAGTCTTCATGGTACCCTTCTACATTGGTTACTTTGTTGTGAGCAATATCAGATTACGTGAGTACTTGGTTTATGGCACTGGGGCTGCTGGCTTAGGACTAAGTGTCCAAATGAGAAATGACTTTTCTGTGAGACAGAGACGTGTCGGTCACTGTCCCCATAGTTGCCTCCTTCCTCTGGCTTTGTTCTGGCGAGATAACGTCTCTTCAGAACATAGTGCTTGAGCGTGGACTGTTTGTTGAGCAGTTCGGAGATCCTTGCCTGACCCCAACCAATGTAACTTTTCTTCATGGGTTTCAACAAAGTCCAGCGCTTTAGAGTAACATTACTGGAATTTGTTCCTTTACAATTTTAAACTTGCAGCCAAACCTTGGAACACTTGGCAAGGCTGTGTTGTTCTGCTGGGGGGTAAAAGAAATGAGGCAGAGATGCTCAAAAAATCACTCTTGAGGCAGAAAACCTTAATAAATGACTTTTGCCTTTTTTTTTTGCTTACTGCTGTCTGGATGAGGCCTCTTCCATGCGCTAATGGACACTGAGGCTTGAGCTGTTGATATCATGGCTCTTTTTTATTAAGCTTAGGCATGTACGCTGGGAGTTTTAAATGTGGTGTTTTGGCATGAAGATGAAGACAGACACAGCTAAGTTATCCCCTGTTTGTAGTGCAGCCCTCAGCATACATTTGTGGGGAAAAGCCAAAGTGGTGTGTCACTGTGTTGGCTCTTGGAAATGGTGGTCTCTCAATTAGCTGGTTCTTTAGGGAGTGAAGGGGTGCACGCTGCTAGCTGTAGCTCTGTCAGTTGACATCTGTTTTGGCCTCCTGTGCTCAAAGCAGCCTTTAGACCAATATAGCAATTTTGCAAGCTAGAAAAAGCCCTATAAGGAAGACTGTCTTTAAAATACTGTGTTTTTTTTCTTCTCAGTGCACAGACAGAAACTGCTTTTTGCATGTGTTCTGTGGTTGACATTCATGTATTTCTTCTGGAAGTTGGGAGATCCATTTCCTATCCTCAGCCCAAAACATGGTGAGTTTCATATTCTTGGTGATTCCTTCCGTGCTGAAAATAGGCTTTGTTATTTCACTTTTATCTTGGAACTACTACTATGTTATGTCAGCTGTACAGTTGGGACTGTAGAAAGTAGTTCTTGCAACTGAGTGTCTGCTTTGCTATGAAATCTGCAATCTGGATTGTCAGACTACCAGAAATGAATAGATACATCTGAATTCTTTGTATTAGTTTTCTCTAAGTACCACCGGAAAACTTTCGGGAAGTGAATGAATCCTAACTGAACTTAGATGGTGTAAGAACACTGTACTTCATCTCCACAAAAAGTTGATCAGAATTTTTATTCGCTTGTTTCTTTTCTTGTGGATACTAAAGCTAATTTGAGAAGAGAATCGACAACCAGCCATTCATCTGAGTCTTTTGAGTTGGTGTATTATTTCTTGTGACTGAAATCAGAGCAGTTTAGCATAGGTGTCTGTCCAGTTGGCAAGACTTGACAGGGTTCCAGAACGCCAGAGCTATATAGACTGTGGCCAGCAACACGTCTGACAGTGCGTTCTAGGTCTGCTTCAGCTTTGTATGCGTCCTGAGCACAGAGGCATTACAGTTGCGTGGTACTGGTATGTGTGTTGGTAAGTCCTGCTGGACGCCAGATTTATTTATGTGCAGAACTGGCTTGAATATATCTCTGTTCCAGTCGTGGAAAGAACAGTCTTTAAACTGTGAAGATGCTGTGTGCACTTGGGCTAGTTTGGGTTCCACAGGGCTTGTTAGCATGTGCCTAACTGTACTGAATCCTTTAGGCACCCAAGGATGCTGAACAACCAGGCTATCTGTGTAATTTATGTTGCCCGTATCCCCTGCACTGGAAAGTTGTTTGTGTATTCTTAACAGGTGAAATTCAGTCAGTTTCACTCAAACTGGTGAATGTCTGGCTGCATAGATAATGGTCAGCTTAATATTTTTTGTCCTGTAGGAAGCCACTTTACTGTGTGCTAAGCATCTGTGAGAGAAAAATTGAACAATACTGATTGCTGTAGGGTCTGCTCACCCTTTCATCTGTGGTCCTAAAACTTTCGTATGAAAAAACCTGTGTGTTTTGTAATTGTGTCATTTACCACCAAAATACAACAGCTCGTAGGTAGTGCGGATCCCTTTGCCCTGTGCTTCATTACTAAGAAAAATGTGTATCCGCCTGGAGTTGCAGAAGGTGCTTGAGTTGGCAGAACGTGATAACCCAAGGGGAATGTAGCCATGGGGTTTAGGTCATCATCTCCAGACCACAGAAAAGATTCTGTGAAGCTGTGTAACAACTGCAGACTCCCAGAACTGGTAGTGGGGGTGTTTTGTATTTTTAACTTCTGCTTTACAAGATGATACTTCCGCTTAACGGTTGTAGAGTGTCTTATCCTACCAGGTGTGGACAAAAGTTTGGAGCAAAAGACTGTAGGTGCTCTTTTCGCTGTTGGACTGCGGGGTTGCTGGTGTCCTGTGCCTACAGGCAAGGCTGCCGCAGGGCTGCATCCTGTGGGGGTGGCCCGGTTCAGACAGGAGGGGTCTCGTTGTGGAGGGAGACTGACAGGAGGCCGTGCTCAGCGAGCCCCTCACACTGCACTCTGTTGCTTGTGGTGTCCTCCTCACCGTGCCCGGCCTCGCTCGCCTGCATGTATGGTAAGGAGGGCTATGCTTTACTCAGTTACTTACTAGTATTCCAATAAAACTCTTTGTCTTTATCTGAGTTGATAAAGCATTCACTTTCTCTGACCTAATCACAAGAGCAGGGTTGCTGTGAGTGTTAGGAGGAGGTGTTGCTTTAACCAGTGGAATGTCATGTCATTTTGAAGGCACCTCTGTGTTAAGTGCGGCTCTCTGACTGTGTGTGGGGCAAAAGGCCGGTGTATTGTAGCACATTCTGTAGCTCGTGTAAATCTCTCTGCAGCTGCACATGACTGGCTGTCTCGGTCTCCCTTTGTGAAGTCTTTTTGCATTGGTTTCATCATTTATTCCCCTTCTCTGAAGCATGAAATGTGGCTTGGCGCTTGGCCATCTCAGCTTTGCAATCATGTAAGCTCCAAATGTGCTGTGTGTGGCAGCTGCTCTATAACTAGCTTCCTAAAAAATGAGTGATGTTTAGTAGCACATGGTACAGTATCCTGAGAAGGCACATTGAGCTCTTGTTTAATGGCTGAGAAGAATGAATGCAACTTCAGTGTTTGGTGTTGGTTGCATCACAGGATTGCCGCTGATGCTGTATTATGTGAATATACATTTTAGAGCCCACTTGATGCTCAGGTGGAATGTCTTTTTGGTGGTCACTTCAGCAGTGTGTGCATGTCTGCAAAATGAATACTGAACAGCTAGGAGCGGCATATGCCTCCCATGCTGTCATTAACTCCACTGTCCTACAAGCACAAATTGCATCAGATCTGTAGGAGTCACTTCTGATGACAGTTGACAGGATGGCGCTTTCTATGTATGGTTCAGACATTTTTGGGCCAGTTTACCAGGACTAACTGGTTTGGTAACTCCATTTCTGGTTATTGCAGAAGTGGCTTTGTGGAAGGGGCATGTTTTATACAGTCTGGGAGATGATCTGTGTTCCTACCTCCCCAAAGTGCAATTGCTAATGTTTTATTAGTTTAGAGCCAAAATATTGACTGTTAGTCCTCTCCAGATCCGTCTTAAGGTTCTTCATAGCTACAAATTCCCATCCCTGTTTCTAAGCATGTTAACATCTTTCTGAGGGAGTCTTTCTACCTCATTTTTCCTAGTCCCTGTCTGTACTTTGTATTACCTTGTGTCATTGCAGTGGGAAGGCAGTGGCATTCATTTAGCAGCTCTGTTTGTGTGTTCTGTTGTGAAGGCACAAGGTGTGGAGCAGAGTAAGGAGAGCCAGGTTACTAATGCTGTGTTCTCCCTCTCTCAGGAATCCTGTCTATAGAGCAGCTCATCAGCCGTGTGGGTGTGATCGGGGTGACGCTCATGGCTTTGCTGTCGGGATTTGGGGCTGTCAACTGTCCATACACTTACATGTCCTACTTTCTCAGGTAACTGCAGCCTTGTGATATGTTTTGTCAACCCTTTTGAGCTTATTCTGCTTTTCCTGTGGTATCGATTCAAGTTTTTTCATAACATTTCTATCTGGATCTAGCTCTTGCCACTCCTACATGCTAGAACCATTTCCGTTCCTGAAGCGTATTCTTCTTACACAGGCTTCTCTCTTTGTGTCAGCAGCATGTGCTTATTTCCTCTGAGATGCGATAGCAGCTCTAATTGAATGGCTTCATTTTTCAGGAATGTAACAGATGCAGATATTTTGGCTTTGGAGCGACGACTCCTGCAGACTATGGACATGATAGTTAGCAAGAAAAAAAGGTGAGAAGGCAGGTAATTTATTTCAATTATTTTCAGTCAGTGTGGATTTAAGACTGATTCTTGAAATCACCAAAATTACTAGTTTTGTCAGGGCTACATGTTGCAGTGAAAGGTGCCTGAGTTGGGTTGAGTTGTGTGGTGTTTCATTCTGACCTGATACACAACTTTTTTTTCCCAGACATGTGCACTAAATAGTACCCTTTCTTACTGCAGTGGCACAGATTAGGCTTCCAAGACAAATTGTAGCCCTCTGAGGGCAGCTTGACAAGTTTGTAAGGGGGCACCTTTCTCTCCTGATGAGTAAGTGCCCCTTAGGTCCCCACAACTGGCCCTCTTACTGACAGGTTCAGTCCAGAAATTGGTCTGTACATACTGGGTGCTCTCCTGCTCTGTGGATCTGGCGTTACGTGGTCAGCCGAAGCAGGCCTCTGGGCTGGTGTGGACACAGCCATTTTCTCACAGATGGCAAGGTTCACGCTAGTTAAGTTTTGGAGATTTGGGAAATGTTGCTAATGTGAATGTAGCATAGTGCACAGTCAGGTGACCAGAACTCAGCTTTTGTTGGTTTAGCTTGTTCCATCTGCACCAAGCTAAAAAGCTAGTTTTGGAAGCAGTGTAATTTCATTTACTTCGAAAAGATTTTTTGTTTGCTGTTACAAATTGCATATTGCATGCCTTACTAATTGTGCAGAATAAATACAATTACCATCATCACTTCAAAGTTTTCACTGTCTGACACTGAATTCTTGCAGCAATCCTCCAAACTTTACTTTTGTCACACTAATGTTTTAATGGAACCTTTTAATGTAAGGTGAGGGACCTTTTAGGTAGTCTAACCTTGCTGAATTAGTCACCAGCCTGTGTATCTGCTAAGCAGTATTAGCATATGAATGTGTAGTCACAGCATAACTCTTTATCTTCCCCTTTGAAAATGTTAAGTGATGAACAAATGTTAACTCACTATTTGTGGTCATGTGTCAGAAAGTAGTGAGAGGTTTTAATTACTAAGGTTTAATTGATTTTATGGGCTAGGAGCACACTAAAATACTGGCTATGGATTTAAAAGATACTGTGTAGTCCTCCTCCTGACTCTGTGCTCTTTTGTTCTGTACAGTGTTTTTGGACCTCTTGTCTAGCAGTAGTGATGTTGAAGTAAAAGTAAGGATATTTGGAACTTGTAACTGAGTAGCACTTTCTTGCCTTCCTATAGACAGAAAAATCTGAATATAGCAACTTTCTAACTGTTATGAAGAGCCATGTGAAGTATGTTAATTGCTTGGGAATTGTACTGAAGTTCATGTATTTGTGCTTAAAAAACCAAAACAAAACCCACAACAAAAAGAAACCCAGAAATGTATGTAATGTCAGAAATGTGCAAGAAATGGCAGAAGCTGGAATTCTCTAGATTTTGTTCTCTTTTAGCTTTGACAGTGAGCAGTGGCTAGCATAATTGGACTATTTGCTCCTATAAAGCAGAGCTTAAAGAGTTAGATAAATCAGATTTGTATCAATCCAAATGCAGTTCAAGTCATTTGACAGAACAAGCATGAATAGCAGTATTTTACAGTGTAGGGCAAGTCCTATAGTTCCATAAATGGTCATTTACTTCCTGGCCACCTATTCAGCATTACTGATAACTCAGAACTTAGCAAGGGTTATAAGCCAATAGAACATAAAGCTGTTTTGTTTTGTTTTTTGATCATGATATATCTTATCAAACTGACCCTTATTCATACAGATTTCCTTGTCAATAGGAAATAGTTGTTGAAAGTTGTTTTCCCTGACACTTTTTGCACAGGAATGTACTGTTCTCTCCTTCCTGAGTGTAATCAAGTAAAGCCATAAAGAAACTGGCCTTTAAAGTTGGCAGGTTCTTTATACTTATCCTTGCAGGTATGATATAACTAAGCCTCAGGTTTGAAATGCCTGGATTCTGTGACACTGTTCCTTCACTTTTGCTTCATGGTAGAGTCAAATTAGCCTGTCTGACTAGATGTATCAACATATCTACACAGGCAAAGTGTGTGGTTTTTGCTTGTGGATCCTTTCTATGAGGTCTCCAGAACTCTTGACTACTGTATGGGTACAGAGATCCCTGTTACTTCTCAAAAGAAAAGATATGCCTTGGTATCCTTAGAGCCTTGTGCTTCACCTTGACATAGCTGCATTTTTGCTGCAATGCTGTGGATCGTTTGGGATGGAACATGTGAATCAGGTACTGGGAAGAAAGCAAGGATTAAAATTGCAATTGTTATATTTGGCAGCTATCAGGATGAATTGAATAATTCAAAAATCTCTGTTATTTGTAGTCTGTGGCCATGTGTGCTTTTATGTGTGTTACGTGGGGTTGACCAAGTGTGTTTCTTTTGTTGGATGTGAAGGAAGAGAGGGTTTTGTTTTGTATTTTTATTACATTGCTTATCAACAACCTTGAAGAGGGCTCAGTGCCAAATCCAGCAATACTGGCTGCAGCTACAAGAATGGACCTAAACACTGTCAAATCTTGGATTGCCTTGATAGTCCTATGAATAGTTTTTAGCTTAGGAGTGGATAACTGACTCATAAATTTCAGTGGGGAGAAATGTGAGGGACTGAAGCCAGAAGCCAGCACTGCTTGTGGGGATTATGCTGCAATGCACATGGGAGTGTGAGGGACAATATGCAGCTGCTGCTGTAGTGTTGGAATCAGCTTTAGGAGTCACGTTCACATCGCCTGAAGCATCCAGTAGTTCAGTCCAATAATGGATTTGTGTGTTTCTGCTTCATAACAGCCTGTCATGCAGGCCAGTGGTGAGTGACAGCAGTTCAGAGTGCTGCTGCATACCGTCCAGCGCTCACAGCTCTGTGGCGGGTGTGCAGTGATAAAGAAGAGGTGTTCAGGGGCAGAGAGGAGCGCGAGCAGTCTTCCAGTGTTTGAACTTGAGATAGCACAGTCGTGTGCTTGAGGAAAGGAAAGTGACTAATCATATGACTGAGAAATCCATTTGAATTTTTCCTTTTAATGGGGGTTAAATCCCTTTAAGGGCTGAAGCCAGATCCTGGATGGAAGTCTTGGGAAGTGTCTCATTGAATCTCGCTTGATTAGATCTGGGCTCTACTCCAGAGCTAATCAAGATAATGTCATGAAGCAAGATTGGTGCTTAGGGGAAGAAAAAAGTGGGCATCTGTTTGCAGTGAATTTAGTTTAACTGTGTCTTCTAAGGATCTGGGGTTTGTTTTTTTTTAGGTTTATTTTTTGTTTTGATTTTTTTTTTTTTTTCATAAAAATACTTTATTCCTTAGGACTTGTGTTTTCTGTTCTTTCAGGATAGCAGTGGCTCATAGGACAATGTTCCAGAGAGGAGAAGTGCATAACAAACCCACTGGCTTCTGGGGAATGATCAAAAGTGTTACAACATCTGTTGCAGGCAGTGAAAGTATCCTTCATCTGCATGCTGGCACCTGCCTCAGGGGGTGGCTCCAGCTTTCTTCTATTTGGAAAGAAGGAGCGTTAGTTGGGCCAGTTACAAAACATTTGTGTTTCAACATGTCTCAGCAAAAGCCTTAATGTCTCCTGGGAAACTTGCTTTCTAGCACTGTGCTGTCTGACTTTTTGTCCAGGGGTTCGACGCACGGTTTTTCTGTGACACAATCAGGAGCTGTGTGCTGCTGCCTTGCCCCATGAAGGTGCTGTTGCATCACCGTGGTTGAGGTGCACAGCAGACTGCAGGATAGATGTGCAGACTTCCTGTGTCATGCTGCCAATGGCTACCCCATCACAGCACGTACGTGGGAGGCAGCTTTCTGTTCTGATGTGTCCTCTGCTCATGTGCCTGACCTCCATGCGTACTTCTCCTAACCTGAAACGTGCTCTTTCAGGACAAGGAACCTGTGACATACTTGAGTAAAACAACAGGGTTGGCTGAGGTGCTGGAACAATTTACGTTGGTCTGCTGGCCGTGTTGGAAAGCTGTGAGAAAGTGAAGAGCAGGAACCAATGTGTAGACCAAATAAGTTCTCATGATGTAGGGTAGCCACTGGTGAAATAGCAGTGTGACAAAGAGGTGACTAGGAACAGGTGACTAGAAGCTGTTCTGCCCATGTGAAAGGGGTAGAAAGAATCTGCTGGGAGTTACAGGGGTCTGTCTTTCTCTCACTTGCAGTTGCCTACTAACGATTTCTGCCAGACCACCTAAGGTGTGCAGTTTACATGTTTAAGGCTGAGGATTCTTTTTCCTCTCCTTTCCCACTGGCTACTAAAATCAGAATTTGGCTGTTTGGTGAGGCTCTTCATAATAATCATTAATCTCTTGGGGCAAAACTCAGAACAAAACTCAGGAGTTTTCTTCATGAAGGTGATGTGAGAGTGACATATTGTGAGATGCACTCCAGTGACAAGGGACACTGTTCAGAGTGGAGCAGTGATCTGGGAGAGCTCTGGCTCTATTCTGTGATGGGTTCCTCAGGCAGGGGAGTAAGCTTGTTGCATGACTGCCTAAATACTGTGTATCACCCACCTTCTTAAAATGAAGTAGCATGCCGTATATGTGTCTTTGAGATTTCCTGAATCAAAAAAAAAATGAACTGGATCAAAAGTGGTCGAACCATCAGATGTTGCCCTTGGGCTGAAGGTGGGAATGGTTGTTTTTTATTTAAGAATTTGTGACATATTGTAGCCTTGACTGTGCTGGTTTGCCAGATCTGTCCCTTATCCAGCAAGAAGTGGATGCCCTAGAAGAGCTGAGTCGGCAGCTTTTTCTGGAGACTGCTGACTTGCATGCAACAAAGGTACATAGCAAGTTAACTGCCTGGATGGGTGTTGGGAGGACAGGGTAGTTTGGAAGAGAATGTCTGTTGCAAGAAATTGAAAGCTGTTCATCAGATAAATGTTGTGATGTGGTGAAGTGAGGATCTGTTTCTTTAATCTGAGGTCTAGATAGCAGTTTCCTTCCAGATCAGATACGTACTGGAGTATGTCCCATGTCCCTAAAGCCATACAGAAACATTTGAATTAAGAGATGTAGAAGAATGGAGCTGTATTTTCTATTGTTGGTGCTCCATTGAAATTTTGTGTTGTGGGTGATTGTGGAAATGATAATTTGTCGTGTGTGTTCTGTTCCCCCTCCCTCCTTTTGTATTTTCAGGAGAGAATAGAGTACTCCAAAACCTTCCAGGGAAAATACTTTAATTTTTTGGGTTATTTTTTCTCCATCTATTGTGTCTGGAAAATCTTCATGGTATGTAAATATTTGAATGTGTTTTTTGTGGACATATTCGAATGTTTTCTGAAAGATGCTGGTCTTTGGCTGAAATAAAGCTATGGATGTGTCTTTTTGTATACAGCATTAGGCAAGCAATTCTTATATGTGTGCAGTTTGCACCTTCTTAGATAATCTGACCCCTTCTTGCCCCCTTCCTGGTGAGACAAAAAGTAAGAATCATGCATGTGTCTCACATGTAACAGTGAGGTATGCTTTTGTTTTCTTATTTGAATATAAATCAATCTCTCTCTTATAGGCGACGATCAATATTGTATTTGACCGTGTGGGGAAGACTGATCCAGTCACAAGAGGAATTGAGATCACTGTAAATTATCTGGGAATCCAGTTTGATGTGAGACTTTATTAATTCTTACAGCCTTTTCAGCAATTCCTGTCTTACCTAAGTAAAATCATGCCACTGATAGGGAGAGTGTGATAGAGTCCTGAGAACATGTCTTTGACTTCTGACTTCCTGAGGAGGAAGGGAAAATTCATCATGAACTTTGCTTTCACACTTATTCTATGCTAGGATGGTATTGTGGTCTTGGCAGAGAGGCAGCTATTTGCTTGTTTTGTGCAAACTTTCTTAAATTAATACATTTAACTACAGAGTAATGATGTTTGCTCATGCATGTAGGTGTTCTGTCATTTGCACTTTTAAAATATATCCCTATGAATGCTGAGTTCTTTGTGATTCGTGTAAGCTAAATCATTATTTCTCGTGTGATTGGAATAAATAATAGGTAATATATTTGTGAAAATGCCTGTTAAGCAAACCTGTCTCCAATGGATACCTGTACAATTACAAAATACAAAGACCCTGAAGAACTGGCAACTATAAAACATAGTGTAAATTGGGTTAGCATTAGAGATTTAACTGTATTCTTCTTGTTGGTACAGGTGAAATTCTGGTCTCAGCACATTTCCTTTATTCTTGTTGGAATTATCATTGTTACCTCTATCAGAGGGTTGTTAATCACACTTACAAAGGTAAGAGCCAGGTTCTTTTGTATCAGGAAAGCTGTTATCAGATTTTTAACTTTAGATGTGACAAATACTGAATAAACTTTCAATACACATTTGTTTTAAATATCTGAAAATAAATACTTGTGGAGGGAGGAAGGCTGGAAAAATACCTTCTGCAGTACATCTCCCCACTCAGTCTCTATTGCTGTTATTGTCAGGAAGAGGTGTAGATGTTAAATGAGATGTTAAATGTAAGCAAGGGTTCAAAATGATGCTGTAGCCAAGGCTTATTAGTAAGGTTGATGAGACGGTGATTAGAGGGACGTAGATTGCTTAGTGGGAGTTGCTGCTAGGACTGGCATTAACTCAAGAGACATGTAACTCATTGGCTTGACCTTTGGCTTTTTTTGATCGAAGCTGAAACTTTGATGTATCATTATATGACTTTTGGCACCATCATCTGAGGGAGATACATATTTAAGGCTAAGATTGCAGCTTTCTGAAAATATAGTACAGTCACCCCTCTAGAAAATAGGTTTTTTATTGTTTGTTTTTTTTTTTTAATGAAGAAGTACAGAATGGTGTCCTAAGACACACCAGACTTATCTAACTGCTTATTTTCAATGTTTTGTCTGTTTTTTTCCCCCTAGTTCTTCTATGCCATTTCCAGCAGCAAGTCCTCCAATGTTATTGTTCTGCTTTTAGCACAGATAATGGTGAGTATGTATGAACCGTGGGCATGCCTATATACACCCATGCACGCATACATATTTGTGTGTGTACATATATACACATAATACAATCTTTGTATGGTAGCCCATGTTAGCCACATAACCAACTGTGAAACAGTAACAGCTTTTTTAATTTACAGGGTATGTACTTTGTGTCATCGGTGCTCCTGATCCGGATGAGTATGCCTCTAGAGTATCGCACTATTATTACAGAAGTCCTGGGAGAGCTCCAATTCAACTTTTATCATCGTTGGTTCGATGTGATATTCCTAGTTAGTGCACTGTCCAGTATCCTCTTTCTCTACTTAGCACACAAACAAGCCCCAGAAAAGCATATGGCCCTCTAAGGACTGCAGTCATGTGCTGTTCCCTGTCCTTTCAACTGCACTGCTGCAACTCCTGTGGACTGCAAAACTTGAGGAGAGCCAGGACTATTCTCTGTGTTCCAGCAGTCTGGCTCTGTGAACTTCCACATGTCATCATCAAGCTCTGTGGCTCATTTTCTTAGGTGCCACAGCTTGAAAGAAATGGAATGAAGGTATTAAATGTGAGATAGTTCACTGCCAAGGAATAAGGGCAGTCCTTGGTATACCAATATCTAGGGGTGCTGGAACTTGCACGGTATGCTGTCTGAGGGAAGATCTACTGTTAGAAGACCATCTTCATAGAAGGCACCAAGGAAGTGTGATTTTTCTTTTGAAAATCAGCTTATAATTTGGATTCAGAGGATGGCAATTCTGGAGTTGAATGTTTGAGTCTGTGGAATTGAATAAACTTTTGTAATATCTCATACAAGCATTACAGTTGTTTTTTGTCAGCCCCAAAGCTCTGGCTGTAAGTGAGCTAGAACATGGCTAGGATTTGCTGCCTGGCAGAAGTGAAGTGGTGAGCATTTCACTCCATTTTTGTATGGAGCATGTACTAGTGTATATCACTAGTACCTGCTGTCCTTAGAAGCTGGAGATTAGCTTTCTGTGTCTCAACCCCTTTTTTTTTTTTTTTTTTTTTTCTCCCTGCATAAATGGAACTGGGGTTTTGGATTCCTCTTTGCTAGTGTTCATTGTGAAGTGAAAGACCACAGCAAGGCCTTGTTTGCCTCGTATGTTACAATTTTCTTTACCTTGTATCCTGTACATTTGGCGTTGCCCACCGCCTGTGTATTCTTCTACAGTGGCCCATTTCTCCTTCTTGATGTAATTCAAGGTGTAAAAGTAAATTTTACTCACGTGACAGACTTCCAGCTTCCCATAGCCACTCTCCTAGGCTTTATTTTAAAATAGTTGTGGAATATAAATGATAGGTGGTAAGAGTAAGACCTGGGAGGGGAAGAAATAGCTGCAATTTATTTCTGTGTTGTCTTCAGTGTATGGCAAGGATGCAAAGAATACAGCAGCAGTATTACAGAGCCATCTGTCACATTCCAGACAAAGTGGTCTTGACTTGGAGTTAAACCTGCATGACTGAATTACGTTCACTGTTCTAGCTACCATGATCCGTGACTGTATGCAGAGAAGAGAGAACAGTGCTTAAATGTCTTCAGTTATGAATTATGAATTTAGTTTAATGTTTGAAAGGAATTTCTACATTGTTAGCAGGAGAGAGGCGTGTAATGCACAGAACACATTGGATTATGCCATTTTGCGGCAGTTGTACTGTTGTAGGAGCAGCATAGAAGAGTCACCACTGACACTGAGTTGGTGGTCTTGGATTTGGGGAGATCTGCCTTTCCTGGGAGATGGGGAGGAATCAGTTGCTCTTTATTAAGAGCTTATCCTTAAAAGGCTAAGATACGTAAGAATCTAGAAAATGTTTTTGCCTTCTGCTGCAGTATACGCAATTGTATGCTTCCACTTATTTAAGCCTTTACAGAAGTGACTTAACTGCCCGCTTTACAAGGCAGAAAGCTAAGGAAGTACAATTTCAGTGTGTTAAATGAATGCAGGTTAAACTGAAATGTTTATTTTTAGGCAGCTTCATTTCAGTGAGGAATTGCAGTCCAGTCCTTTACAGGTATGGCACTCCTAGGATTAGTGAGGTTCTGGGAGGTGTAGTAGCAGAGAACAATTGAAGAAAGAGGATTTGGAAGGTTTCTTTTTTGTTCTTGCCATAGTTTGTCTCCTCACAACTTTGTGTCGTCATTGTTGTCACTGTTTGCTCTTGTAGAGGCAGCTGATTGTGAAGAGGAGGATGAGCTTGCCTGCAGAGGAGAAGCAAATATGTTCTGATTATTTTTAGTTTGTAACCTTGCTGGATAATCTGCAGTGTTACAAAGGACTCCTACTTTCATCAGCACTAATCGTATACTTATTTGGATGACAGCCAACGAATGGGATTTTTATTGCTGAAGCGCTTTTTAGTTAAGTACATTTAGAGATAAACTTATTTAATAGAGGTTTCCTATTGACTAATTCCTGTACCTGCTGAATTTGCACACAAAAGTGGTGCTAACTTCAGATATGCAAAATACAAGTCGGTGTGTAAGAAACCTTGGAAAAAAAACTTGCAGGTGGACGTATACAGAAAAAGTTAATGAACAGGAGACAGTCTTATTTTCCCTTGTCTGCCTCTTGCGTGATTGTTCTGCCAATGACCAGGCCCAACAAAAATGCTAGCACCAGCAGAAAGAGAATCCAATACGCAGACCGTATTGTAGACAAGAAGGACATTGCATGAATGATCGCTGGGGGTACAAACAGATCAATCAGCTGGTATATAATTGATGCCACCCCCAACGATTCCACAAACAACACGACTCGACCCACAACAGGTGGTACAAACAGAGACCTGAGGTTTTCCACAGTTGGCATGGGAAACAGCCAGACCAGCAGGCTAAGCACATAAGAGAAAGGTGCCCACATAGTGACTCTCACCCCATCGGCCCGCGTTCGCAAAGGTCTAAACAGACTGGGGCCCAGCTCTAGGGAGAGTCAGGAGGTCTGCCCTGAACCAGGAAGTTCTGGGGAGGGCACTCCACAGACAGACACACTCCTGACTCCCTGCAAGTGGTCCCAGCTTTTATCCCCAAGCAGACACCTGACCTTTGTCAACTCAGTGCGGGACCCCTGGGGCTCATTTCCCTCATGGCTCTCCCTGCAGGGCCGGCCGCACCCTGGGGGGAAGCTATAAGGCAAACTCACCACCTCTTTATGAAGGGAATCACCCATATGTCAACCTTAATTCAGGGCTTGGGGTTCAAACCCCAGCATTTCAGTGATCAAAAAAGAAGCATTTGAATATTTAAGGCTGACCACACAGAGGGTTCAAAGTGACTGTTTCAGGAAGAAATACCTTTCTACTTTTCTGACTTCTGTTGTACTTCAGATTCTTTCTAACAGCATGAAGTGAGTAATTTCAAATGGGCACATTTCCTAGAAAAGGTCATCATAACATATCAGTTGCTGCTCTTTCTATTAGGTGATCTATTTTAAAATATTTCACCTTATTTTCCTGAAATTAGTTTGTTTTTTGGTGTATCGAAGCACATTTTTCCTTGTACTTTCAGGATCGTACTGCCTGTTTCCCATGTTTATTAAGGATTACCATATTTGGATGATCCTATTCCATAAAATCTCTTGTGCATGCATCCTTTCTGTGATGTAATCTTGCATTAAAGATAATCACCTGTATTACGTGTGGGAAGAGGAAGAGTTCATCATAATCAGACAACACCGTTCCTTTTCATAACATAGACTGACTTGTAAAAACCCAGGTTCAAGTTAAAAATCCTAGCTCAAATATACATAGTTGCTGAAAAAGAAGTTATTTTTCTATCTCCTAAATGATCCTTCAACATCTGCTTAATGCAGGATTACGCACCCTTTCCCTTGGTTCAGGTGGGTTTCTCTCTGCCTCAGATGGATGGTTTTCTGTGTAAGCAGGAAGTTCAGAACTGTCATGCACTGGATCTGCCATAGAGACTGTTATGGGAATGTTCTGGCTCTGGAAGTATTTGTAAGCATCTTTGCTGCACACCAGTAGTGTTAGTCTGTCACCACTATCTTGGATTCTTGCCACCACTTTGTCATAGGATTCATTGATCACATTCACCCCGTTCACTTCCACCAAGAAGTCGTCATTTTCTACACCTGCTCTGTCAGCTGGCCCATGGTTTTGTACCTGCAAAGGCAAGTTCAAACTGATATTAGCATAAAACTTACATTAATAAGTGATGGGTAGCTAGACTACTGTTTTACTGTTTTCCTTACAAGATGGGAAAATGAGCACAGGGAAGGGGAGATTTGTGGAGCATAAGTGGATTGGGAGAGGCAGTAGGCCTGGACATAATAAACATGGAACCCATCAGTTTGAGATTTAAGATGCACCTTGACTTGGGTTATAGAAATGTAGATTGGTAGAATAATGAGAACAGATGGAAAGGCAGTTTTCTTATTATTTATGGGTCCCTGTACAGTAACTTTAATATGTTTCATAGATTCTTTAGTAATATGTAGAACCCCTCCTTTCAAGAAAGCTGAAGGCACAGGCATAATTTGAGACAGTAGAGGTTTGACTTTTGCCAGCTGTGGAATTCAGAAGAGGGGGAAGAGGGGAGTAGAGTGGGTCAATTGTCTCCCTTACATTTAGGATATGATGCAGTAAAAAAAAAAAAAAAAATTCTATTTAAAATACTGGTTTTAGCATGCCAGCCTTGAGAATAAAAACAAAAATGATGCAAAAGCAGGATTCCCCTTCCTTCTAGATGTCTTAAAAGAATGAGGAATGGTTTTTGATGCTTTTTTTTTTGTCTTACTCCTACAATGCCAATCTGACTGTGATGATTACAGCTCTTATCTGAGAGCGCTGGAGAAGAGACTTGTCTTTTGTGGCTTTTCTTGAATGTATTTGCAGGACAGAAGGGAGGAAGCTGTCCAACAGACTACTTAAGGTTTTCCTTGTTCATTGTACATTAATACCTCATTGATGAACAGTCCAGGCTTGGTTTTGATCATGTTTAAACTGAAGCCAAATCCACTCGGCCCTTTCACCATCTTGCAGATTCTTGGCTTGTGGTTCCTTTTCTGCTCAGTGTGCAATTCC